GATTATTAAAATACTTAAATGATTTGTCTATTGCCATAATTAATTCTACTTTTAATTTAATCATTTCTGTGGGACTTCTTCATTTCTGAGATATGAGTACTTTTGTATAACGAGTATGTCGGTTACAAAAAACCTCGCTGAGTTTGCCCTATTTTGCTCTTATTTAAGTAGTCTAAAAAAAAACAGACGGCGAGGAATCCGAATCTGGTCTCAAAATCTCTGAGAGAGCTTTCAGTCAGGAGATATAATCAAAACAAGAAAACAAGTCCACATCAGTATATGTAGAGAAAGATGGTGTACGTTTGGGGTACGGGAGAGGTCAAATCTCAAAAATTTTGTTTTCGAAATGTTCCTCGTCATGTAATCTATTGGAATATATGGGCCGTTTTCGTGTAGGAAGGGTGGCAGATTTCGTTACTTATCCGGCGTGGTCCTTTTCCCATGGGACTACTATCGAAAATTCATTCAAATCTCTTCATACCAGTTTTCCCATCAAGAACAATGACATTTAAACCACGATTCTCATTTTGTTCAAAAACTATTTTTCCATTAAGTTTTACATTGACAGAAGTGTTCTTTCGATCTGTTTCTGATTTTTTTATTATAACTTCAATTTTGAATTGATTAATTTAAGAAAGTTCTAATAAATTTGAATAACAGTCAGTATAAAAATGACATTTTTCATCACTTTCATAGTCTGATCTATTAGCAATAGAATTGTTTTCTAAATTTTCGAAGTAATTCATCCATATACGCTTTAAAAGTGTAGTATGAATTTGAATAAAATAAGATCGATACTGAGAAGAAACTTGAATTAATCTTTCATTAGCAAAATGTATCATTTTTCGAATTGAATCAACCACTAAAGGATTTAAAAACAGTACTTTTTTTAGATCAGATGATTCTGTTTTATTTACAAGACTATTTAAACTTTCAGCAAAAACTTCCTTAGAAGAAATACAATCGAATCTATCATCATCTTCACTCCATGCTAATCAATTAGCGTAAATTTTTAATCCTGTCTGATAAAAATTTTTAACACAATCATTACAAGATTTGTACTTATGTATCTCGGTATATGTGTTTAAATTTGAATAACTACTATCTACTCGAGATAATAGATCAGCTGATGATTTTAATTCTCTCGGTAGCATATGATGTGTAGCGATTTCATTTAGTAAATTAATATTTAAAAGATGTTTCTTCCATAAATCGATCAAATTTAGAAAATATCGTCTTTGTTTTGCTCGACTTTCATTATTTAATGAAATAATAGCGTCTAAACTATTAAAAAAGACTTGATACTGATATTGGTAATATTTTTCAATTCCATTTACATAATCAGACTTTGTTTTTCCTTTTTCCCACTCACAAGGGAACATTCCCAGGTGAAGGAACGCTTTTTAGCCGGGGTTTCCCGCATCTGGTAGCCCATAGTGAGCTATGTCTATGGTAAAAAAAGTTTGGGTTTCTGGCCTGTTTCTGAAGAGATAGAGCATTTTTATTATTACAACTATAAGAGATATCTTATCAGTAAAAAAGTAATATGGCAATCAATATTCATTGAAACCAATTGAGATTTTTCTCACATATAGTTGACATCATATGGAACATAATGTGAAAGTCTGAGCTCAAACAACCTTGAGCAGATTCAATTATCAATTGTAGACAATATTAACCCTTTGGCTCCCCGCGACACATAAATGCGTCTAGCTGCAATTATTGCATGATTATAATAGCTAGAATAAATTTGAAAAAATATTTGAATAGCTGAAAGAATTTCCGATCTCAGGTGGTGTAATTTCACGCAGAAAAAGACAAAAATTTGATTCTTCTATTAATTTTTAATGAGATATTTTGATATTAAATAATGTGTTACCCAGTATAGTATATATTTTATTTTATTTCTTTGTTACAAGAATGCGAATATCATCATCAATATTTTTAAGATCAGAAAATAATTTATCAAGTATTGTTAAAAGAACTTTTTTACCATTAAAAATAGCATTCGCTTGTTGATTGATAAAGTATATTTTTTGTGTCAGATGATCGAGAGTTTCTTTAATAATGTCATAAAACTGATTTTTAATGTTTTCTATTTCTTGTTTCTGTTCAAGAGGAGCTGACGAAAATTTAAGTTTTAAATAATTTAATTCAAAAAATGTTTTCTATTTCATTTCTTTTTTGTCTGTTTGTTTCGATAAATTATTAAATGTTTCTCCACAAGTGACTTCTATTATGTTCAACTTCTGATATACCTAGAAAATCGTCAGGTTTCTAAGATTAATGAATTATTTTAAACTATAATAAAATTCATATACTTTGTCAGGTGGATTTTCTGATATTTCTCGCAGTAAAGTGTTAATTCTATTAAGACTAGATAAAGTATTTGTCAAAAAATTTCCTTTATTTCCTTTGGTTGATTCAATTTTTTCTTCCCGTTTTTCAATTTGTAATTTTGTTTGTTTATAATCAAAAATTATCCTTTAGAAATTGAAGTGCATTACAAAGATCACTAATTGTTATTTTTTGTAAAATATTTTCTATTGTGTTATGTTCAAAACGTTCGAGATTGTCTGTCGTCCATCTAATAAATTCTATTAATTTTTTATTTTCACACCAACTATTGATGTCTTGACAATTCTCTAGCTTATTAAATATTTCTTCTACTAATATTGGATCATAGAATGTATTAAAAGCATCTATTTGTTGTTCAATTGTATATATAAAGTTTTTCTTTTCATATGGTGTTGAAGAATGAAAATTTAGCAAGTAATTTCGACTTTTGGATTGATATATTATATCTAAAACGTCGGACTTATCAGGGGTTATGAAGTGATTTATTTTGATTTTTTCAACGACAATAGAAAAATTGAAGGTAATGTCATATAAATAGGATCGAGGAATTTGAATAAGTACGTGTTCTATCTTCTCGATCTGTTTTGTTAGGGTATCAAGATGTTTTTCGTCCATATTTATTAAATTTAAATTGTGTTGAAAAATGAAAAGAAAATCGTTAACCATATCTAATTGATCGGCATCGGTGAATAAATTTTGTAATAAATTTGTTTGATTTTCATTAAAAAATGAAGAATTTGAAAGATGTTTAAAAGTTTCAAGTAAATTCACTTGATTACTCATTTCATTAAAGTTATTGATTGATTCTATTAATTGAGATCTATTATTAGGATATAATGTCGGTTCGAAATGATAAAATGGAAATTCTTTTAATATAGATGCAAGTTTGAGTTTATAATCGACTGTTCGAAGTATCTGCAAAATATTTAAAAGCTCTTGTTCTGTTACTCTTAGTATTTCATGAGAAAATTCTTGGACACGGTTCAATGTTTTCGTTGTGCATATTAACCAATAATGTCTTAAACACTCTCTCTGCATACCTTTAGAAAAGTCTTTAATAAATTTCATAAGATAAGTATAATTGAAATTCGAAATTTTGTTTCAATTAATTTCTTCTATTGTATTTCGAGCAAGAATATCTTCTAATTGTGCAAGAAAGTAGCATCCAGTTTTCAAAAGAGATTGTTCACTAGGTTCTTCACAATTATCCTCACATCGACGATATTATTTTCAGTTTGAAATTTTCTCCTGTTTGCACAAATTTTCTTTTATAATTTTAACATTCTATGTGTCTAAAAGCCACTTAGAAAGTTCTTCTTCCGGCATTTCTACTAGTGTCTTTGCGCGTCTTCTGGAAGCTTCTGTATCTTATAAGGAGGAAAACCTTCTAAGATAGCCATTTTTTCTAAGAATTGATTTAAGCTCGGGTCCAGTCATAGTTGATAAGAAGCTAATTTTTGAGGATTACAATATTCGTCATAAAATTGTGCAGTTTGTTGAAAAACATGTTGATGATTTATAGGACGGATTCTCTGT